GATCCTGTCACCTCGGGGGCGCCCTCTCTGTGGGCGTACGGCTTCGAGACGGGCACACGCGCGGCGGTCGCATCCTCGTCGTTTCCTTTTTTTTGGGGGGGAACGCACGTTGGATGTGTTTCGCTGTGTGCATGTGTACGGGGGTCGCAGAGCAAGGGGTGCGCATGGTGTGACGCTCGGCGCCCTGCGCGCCTGATGCTCCGCCGCGTGACTATCCCGTTATGCATATCCTGTGTGCGCTCTAGCTCCATCGGGGCCCTGATGAGTCAGCAACAAACCATGCATTACACATCGTACGCGGAGTGTGCCCTCCTCCCCACGCAACGCTCTCTCATGTAGTGCGCTCGTCGCAAAACCAACAGGCGTGTCGCACGAAACTGGAGAGCAAGAAAGATGACCACGGCCCTCCCCACATCGGTGTGCGTATGTGGGTTTTGGCCCTGTCCGGACGCTTTCAGAAAGCGTTGATGCGTATGATGATTCGAAGGGCTGTTGGGGTGTTCTGCTTCAACCCCAATGCAAACAGAACCCAGACCGTCAGGCTCTCGTTGAACAATCCCACCGGTGAGTGTACTTTTTTTGGTCTCCCGCGTGGACCTGAGAGTGCCCAGATGTTGTGGCCCAAGCTGTATGCGGGTGGCTTACGCTGATGAAAGTATTCCAAGTATTACTGCAACATTGGCGAGAGAAATGCCATTGCTCAATGACGGCTGCATAGTTAATCCATTCTCTGAGCTTGCCCCGCCCCCGTGCCATGTGCCTTCCCTCCGCCCTTGAAGTGCAGTGTGATGATATACGTTAATGCTGTGACGTACTCCCTTATGATGCTGGGCGCTGGCAGAGATGCCTTTGCTCCTATTATTGATTATAGACAGCATGCTGACACTGTGCGGACTATCGTGACACTCTTAAGAAAGTTTTTTAATGTACATATATTTATTGTGTTCTTTTACGGTTTTTGCAGTGCCTCTGGTTTGTTATTGGTTTGTTTATTATTATCTTTTATTCTGGTTTTTCTATTATAGAAGATTTGTATAGCGAAGAATGAGTACTTGTTCCTATATTCAACCAATTCAGCCTCAATTGGTCTCTTCACTGATGGGGATGATAGCCGACGCGTATGATCTTCAGCAATTGGAATTGTGTGCGGCGCGGACGATACAGTCAGCGTACCGCATGTGGCGTCAGTATGGGGCGTATCGTGTGGTGAAGAGGGCCGTGGTTTGTCTGCAGCGGGTGTATCGTGGCCACATGCAGCGCAAGCGTGCGATACAACGACGGGAACAAGCTGAGGAGGCGCATGAAAGGGCCGTTTATGAGTACTACGCAACCCGCATCCAAGCATGTTTCCGTGGGTACTATGTACGGAGTCACATGGACAACTTCTATGCCAGGAAACTGTACATTGAGGAAACGGTGAAAGCATCGTTACAGGTGCAGGAAATGGCCACGCAACTGTTCCACGAGCAAGTTGAGCGGGACACGGAAACACGGCGATTACAGCAGGAGAAGAGCTACAAGGAAGCGACGGAGAAATTACGCCATCTGGTCTCAACGGTTTCTGTCAGTGGCATATATAGGCGCCCTATGGTTCCCTGTTTGACCATGTCTGTTTATGGAACATGTGTTGAAGATGACATTCGGCGGAATGGCGAGGCTGCGTTGCATCTGGAACACATAAGAAAGATGCGAGGGACTTTAACAACAGGTCGGAGAGAGAGACAGAAAACTGGAGTGGCGTCTGCAACTACCAAGGAAAGTGGTTTCCCGACGAACAAGCAAGTGCAAGGGGGAGTTGGTGCAAAGGGGCAAGGTAATGTTTCAACACTTCCTGTGTTGCGTGTCGCACGAAACTGGAGAGCAAGAAAGATGACCACGGCCCTCCCCACATCGGTGTGCGTATGTGGGTTTTGGCCCTGTCCGGACGCTTTCAGAAAGCGTTGATGCGTATGATGATTGACGTAACATCACAGACTTTGACGAACTCATGAGCAAGAAGCATTGTCGCCCCAGTCTGACACCCCGCGACCCCCTCTCTTCTTTCCCTTCTTCCCTCCCCCTCCTGCGCAATGTGCGTGGCGATGTGATCGACAACCAGGCCGATGTAAAGCCGTCGCAGATGGACGTTGACATTGCATGAAAACAGCGTTAATTCACGCCCCGTCTGATCGCCACGCTGGGCCTTCCTCCTCCCTCATCTCTCCTCTCATCTTCTTGCGCCTGCACACCGCGATCCTGTCACCTCGGGGGCGCCCTCTCTGTGGGCGTACGGCTTCGAGACGGGCACACGCGCGGCGGTCGCATCCTCGTCGTTTCCTTTTT